CAAAAACAAAACATCAAACTCATAGATACAGAGCACAGATTGGTAGGGGGTGGGAGGTGGGAAAACGGGTGAAGGGAGTCAAAGGAGACAAACATGCAGGAATAAAACAAGTGAGTCATGGGATGTAATGTGATGTAGGACATGGTGACTACAGTTAATAGTACTGGATTGTGTATCTGAAAGTTGCTAAGAGTAGACCTTAAAAGTTCTCCCAAGAAAAATTTGTCACTATGTATGGTAACAGATGTTAACCACACTTATTGCAGTGATCACTGATCACTTTGCAATATATGCAAATACTGAAACACATTGCACACCTGGAACTAATATAATGTATGTCAACTATACCTAAAAAAAAACAACAACAAAAAACCAACTAAATAAAATTTTAAATAAGATTCAAAAAACACTTTACTTGGCTTATGTTTTCTTTTTTTTTTTTTAATTGGGGAATGGGGGAAGGGGAACAGACAAGTTGCTGTCCTTCTGTTCTTCAGTCTAGTTGTGGAGGACGTCGCTTCACTGGCCCATGTGGGTATTATCACTGCGCTCTTCCCGGGTGAGGCAGATTGGTAGCTGGCCTCTGGACGGCCGCTCACAGCGGCTCTTGGCAGTGCATACCAGCTGCCGGCCACTCACGCTGGCTGCTAGCCGCTCATGGTAGCTTATGGCAGCCCACTGCAGCAGGGGCTGCAGCCTACGCCATCGCTGGCGACTCAGGGCAGCCCAGCTCCAGGTCGAGCTGTTGTTCACCATCTTAGCTGTGGAGGGCAGTGTCACTGGCCCTCATGTGTGATCCAAACTGGCGGCCCTGCTGCACAGAGCTGGCGTCCCAAGCCAGCTCTTAACCAATGCGCCACTCGGCCGGTCATATTTTTGTTTTCTTAATGATTGAAAAAATCAGATAAACTGAAATTTTAATCTGGTTTAGCTAATAATCTGTGTGACTCGAGCAAGTTATTTAACCTTTCATTAGCTTCAGTGTTCCCACCTGTCAAATGAAGGGCTAAGTCTAGCCCAGGGGTCGGCAAACTGCGGCTCGCAAGCCACACACGCGGTTCTTTGAGTCTGAAGTCAAATTGAAAATGAAACTAAAACTATCATAGTGTCATTTATAAAAATTTTAAAGGATATTATTCACATAATGGTGATTTCATTTGTTTTATGGCTCTCGAATAATTTTTAAATTGTTCTGAGGGACAGGATTGGCTCTTCCGTCTCAAAAGTTTGCTGTCCCCTAGTCTAGTCGAAATGAGGGAAGTTGTGCGGGATTAGGGACGAGGGTTAGCTCTGTACTTTCTGCTCCATTTTGCTGTGAATGTAAAACTGCCCTAAAAATAGTTTATTGATTAAAACAAATAGAAGCCTCAATATGCTTCATACAGGGAATGGTGTGATGTTCTCAGCATTCATTCTCTCCACACTCCTGCATTCAAATTAGATTTAGAGCCTAGACTATTCCTCAAACAATTCAGGGGAAAATGAACCATGTTCTGGTATTTAATCCTACGTTAAATTAACCATCAGATTGTCTGTATGAAAGACAGAAATTTTCATCCTCTACCTTTAAACCTCAGTCTCTGAAAAGCAGCATGATTCAATGGTAAAATAAGTGGTGGGACCTCCACCAAGTGCTCAAGACTCCAGAATTGATTTTAAAGGCAAACTCTGTTAAATTTAGTTAAGTTCCTTAACTTTTCTGTGTCAGTTTCTTAAGAAGTAGATAGTAACTACCAGCTTTACCATTTCCCACAGATTTAATATGAAAGTATTCTGAAAATTTAAATGACATATCAAATGTAGGATGGTATCATTGATTTGATTTCCAATGATCCGTACTATTTTGAGGAAATGACAGCTAAGTGAAAACATTATGTATGATATATAATATAATAAATATTATAAAGTCCATTTATATTTTATATGACTCCCATGAAAAATAAGTCTGTAGGCTATAAAATTTAGTTATCCCATTTTCTATAATAGATTTAGTACTCAAAATCCAGCCTATAAATCAAAGTAAGTGTATGAGAGTTTCTTATTTTGTAAAACTTAAAAGTCAGTATTTGACAGCTAGGATAATCTTAAGATACGAAATCTATAGTTCAAGAGCTTCATTTTATTCCTTAAGCTTTCTTTTTATGATTCCCAGAGAAAGTAATTTGCCCCAAATGTTACAACAGTGGCGGGACTCCAAGCAGAGCCGACTGCTCGTCAAGAGTCGTGTTGGGCTGACCGAGTGGCGCGTTGGTTAAGAACTGGCTTGGGATGTCAGAGGTCCCTGGTTCGGATCCCACATATGAGGGCCAGTGACACTGCCCTCTACAGCTAAGATGCTGAACAACAGCTCAACCTGGAGCTGGGCTGCTGTTGAGTTGCAGGCGATGGCATAGGCTTCCATAAGCTACCATGTGTGGCCGGCAGCCAGTGTGAGCGGCCAGCAGCCGCCATGAGCGTCCATCCAGAAGCCAGCGACTGATCTTCCTCGCTCAGGAAGAGTGCAATGATGGTGCCAACTTGAGCCAGTGAAGCAACGTCCTCCACAACTAGACTGAAGAACAAAAGGACAGCAACTTGTCTGTTCCCCTTCCCCCAATTCCCCAGCACTGTTCCCATCCCCCAATTCCCCAATAAAAATTAAAAAAAAAACAAAAAAAAACCAGAGTCGTGCTAATTTCTGCACAGTGTGCTGTTTACCGTAACACACCCTAAGCCTGAAGGTCCTGCTCTAATTCCTCATATATCAGACAGTGATATATGTCTGATACTTAATATTCTCCTTTTAGAGAAAACAAAATTTAAATTCTAAAAGTAATGCAGCATTTTTATAACTTCAAGCAATAAAGACAAATAAAAAACCAGAAGTGAGAACCCCACTCCCCACCCCCACTCCTATAGCCCAGAGGGGTACAGCAGGCACATAGTACCCACCCCCTCCCATGTTCACATCGCAATCCCCAGGACCTGGGAACGTGCAGATGGAATTCAAGCTTCTCATCTGTTGATCTGAGATGGGGAGGTCATTCTGGATTATCTGGGGGGCCCGATGTAAATAACAAGGGTCCTTGTACGTGGAAGAGGGATGTGAGAGAGGCAGAGTCAGTGAAAAACAAAGTGAAAACAGAGCCAAGGTTGAAGTGACGCAATGTAAAGACTCAGCCTGTCACTGCTGGCTTGGAGGACAGAAGGGGCTCCACGCCAAGGGGTGTGGGTGGCTTCCTAGAGCTGGAAAGGCCAGTAAAAGGATTTCACCCCAGAGCGCCAGGAGGAATGCAGACTTGCCAGGACCTTGATTTTAGCCTGGAGAAACTCCTATCGGATTTCTGACCTCAGGAACCATAAGATAATAAATGCGTGTTGCTTTTAACAACGTCCTAAGTAATTTGTTACAGCAGGCACAGAAAACTAACACACAGCTTCACCTCTTTTAATAGTCTGATGACTAATATACTAGATTTTTTTGGTGCCTACAGAAGTGTACATTAATAAGAGAGGCTTTCTGAAATCACAGAGGACTGGCTGCATCGCTTGTATCTGTTATCTTAGCTAATGACGTCACCACACCCAGGATACAGAATTAAACCCTGGGATCGGCACTGACTCTAGCCCTGTCCAGTACTCCCCACCATCCAAGCAGGCTTTAATTCCTTTCAATGTTATTGTCAAAAAATTTCAAGACTCCACCCTTTCTAACATCCTGACACTACTATCTCCTTAGTTCAAGACAGTGCTTCCATCCTGGAAAGCCTCAAGGGTGTCCTGCTTCCTACCAGTTTCTAGTATTTCCTCATCTAATCCATCTTCCGTATGGATACTGCCGTTTTATCTCGATCCACTTTTGATACCATATTAACCTTGAACTGTGTATTTCACAGCTTCTTTTAAATTAGAGGAAACCAAATGTCTATCATTTTAGTCTTGGTTATTTGAGGGGATTTCCTATTATTGGCAGCTGAAACTAAGCTTAAGTAATAAAACATTTTTGTGATCAAGAAGTAGGAATACAGTACGGAGAGTTTATGTGATATCTAACTCAGTGGTGAATCAATGAAAAAAAATCTTTCAATGCAAAATAAAGTTCTATGATTTATACATGTTGACCACTTTAAGTACACCAAGTCAGATGTATCTCTAAAATTCAACCTTTCCTCTTCCAATTTCACTTTTTTTGCCTAAATTTAGACCCTCATGACCTTTAAATGGATAGTGCGAGTTTCTGCCATTAGTAACTCTCTCATTTGATTCATCGTCCACTCTGTTGCCAAACTTATCGTCTTAAAACACGAACTTGTACTTTTCAGTTCCTTTCCCAAAATACCGTTCTTAAGTTCCTGTAGCTTAATGGGATAAATATTTTAAGAGTCAATGAAGTCCATGGTTTTGGCTATCACACAACGTTTATTTCCTACGATAGCACTACATTTTAGAAACACTGAACTTTTGAGTTGTTCTTACATACCTTCTACTCTCTCTAAGTGGAATGCCCTTCTCCACCCTGCAAACTGTTACTGAACCTCCGAACCCAACCCAACTCGATTCTATGAACTACTTCTCATTCATGATACAGGTAGTGATAGCTCTTTGGGGCTTTAAAACTTCTCAATTAGAGTGCTTATCAAGCTATGCTTTCCCAAGGGCAAAGTGCCTGGAACACAGAAAGCATTCAATCAATGAGGAATGAGCTGCCGAAAATCATCAAGGCAGTTTTAGATACACACATAATGCCATTCTTCTTATTTTTAATTAACAAAAAAGCACCATTAGAATCCAAACTATAGAAATGTAATCTACAAAGAGAAGATAAAGATCAGGGAAGATCTATTAGCCCCAACAACACAGTGCAGTATCGTGACTACAGAGAACACAGAGGTGTTTGTGATGAGGTTCCTACTTATTTACATTATATTCGTGTTGTGTTTTCTGACTGTCAAAGCGTTTTCTCAAACATGGGACAGTAACAGGTCTTTAAAGGATGTTAGCTAACAGGTACTATTACTTACTCTGTAGTTTTGTAAACGTCAGAATACAGCCCTGCTTTCTGAAACTTCTTCTTTGGGGGGCGTGGGGCCTTCTTTTCTCTTGGGATGAGAGAAAGCACAGGCTGCAAGGTACTTTCAGGTTCGGGAGGTTTGGCGGGGGTTTCAGGAGGACTGGGAATCTCAACTGCTGCTTCAGTGAAGCTATAAAGAGAAGTTTAAAGATAGTTTTATGGTGAAAAAAATAATTTCCTACAAATGATTGTCTATTTAAAAAAACATAACAGCAATTCAAGAAAGAGATATGGAGGCTTCCTCATCTGGCCATGCTGGAGTAACAGCAGACTTGTCCGCCTGACAGAAACTAACAGAAAACTATTAGAAACTACTACAAAACTACAGGGAACCACTATAAACCTGGAGAAAGTTTGTGAAACAATGATCAGACATTGGTCAACAGTGCAGCACTGTGATCCCTGAGAAAACGGAAAGAAAAAAAGAGAGATGAGTCCTGCAACCATTTCCCTTTATGAGCAGGACTGTGGCAGCGGAGCAGAACAAAAGCAGAGAACGCCCAACTTGATGAGCTGAAAAGAGAGAGAGATCAGAGTGTGTACAGAGAGGCTGAGGCGGCCGGCCGGAGCTCGTGGGGTGGAGTACCAGGGTGCAGAAAGCTAGGGAGTAAAAAAGCTCTAGAAATCTGTGTATGAGTGTTCCTTAGGATACTGCGACATGCTAAGCTGTGCCTGTGCAGGGGGAAATTCCTAAGGCTGGACAAGGAATGAACAGAGCACTATAACCTGAACAATTCCCAGAGCTCAGATGTGATGGGCAGAGTGGACAGACACTGTCCCACATGGGGCAGGGTAATAGTATCCATTTTCAAAGGGCTCAACTACCCCTGGACTATTGGCCAGCTCTTATTAGCTGAAAAACAATCTTCAAAAGACTCCAAGCTGATCCACAAGTAACTTAACTGCCTACCAAAATAAACTGAACAGTGGGAAATGAACACCAGACACACAATAATGAGGCATTTGCAATGTAACAAAAATTCATAATGAAAAAAATAATTTAAAGAGTAATCGTCAAAAAATGTCCAAATTTGATAAAAGTATAAACTCAAAGTTCTAAGAAGCTAAGCAAGCCATAAATATAAACTCAAATAAAACAAGTAAGGTGTATCATAATAAACTTGCTGAAAACTATTATGATGAAGAAAATAAAGGGCCAGAGAAAAAAATACATAATCTATACAAGAGTACAAAAATGAGTATAGATTTCATGTCGGAAACAACACAAGCCAGAAGGCAATGAAATAAATCTGTAAGTGCTAAAAAGAAGAGGAAAAGGCCTGTCGAAATAAATTCTAAATGAATCAAAAACATCTTTAAAACTAAGGTGATTCCAGTTCTAGGAAAAAATTGAATAGACACGTCTACTTATCCTCCCACTAAGTACAACTAAAAACCCTGGAAATTATATATCAAATAAACATAAGCAGACAGATTGGCTGGGGACTGTGGGACCTGAGCAATGACACAGCAGGGGATTTCCTAGATTTTCTTTTTGCCTCACATGTAGTGGTGAGAGACAATACAATCTCCCTAATATCAAGGACAGAGCAAACGGCTGCTCTCATTTACTTATATCATAGTAAAGGTCCCTACCTGTGCAAAAACACGAGAAAAAGAAAAACACCTTGAAGTGTGAGTCCTCCAATTTTGTTCTTTTTCAAGATTGTTTTGGCTATTTGGGGTCCCTTGAAATTCCTTATGAATTTTAGGATGGATTTTTCTATTTCTGCAAAAACCGACACTGGGATTTTGGTCGGGATTACACTCATTCTGTAGATCACTTTGGGTAGTGCTGACATCTTAACCCATGACCACAGGCTTTTCCATTTATTTGTCTTTTAAAATCTTGTTCAATGTTTTGTAGTTTTCAATGTCTAAGTCTTTTGCCTTCCTAAGTTTATTCTTAAGTATTATATTCTTTTTTGCTGTTACTGTAAATGGAACTGTTTTCTTAATTTCCTTTTGGAAAGCTGTTAGTGTATAGAAATGCAACTGATTTTTGTATGGTGATTCTGTATTCTCAACTTTGCTAAATGCGTTTAGTAGCTTAAACATTTTTTTCTGTGGAATCTTTAGGGTTTACCAAAATATAAGATGTGGCATCTGGACACAGAGCTAATTTTACTTTTTCCTTTACAGTGTGGATGCCTTTTACTTCTTTTTCTTGCCTAATTGTTCTGGTTAGGCATTTCAATACTCTTGAACCGAAGTGGCAAAAGTAGGCATCTTTGCCTCGCTGGGGGAGCAGCTCTGTGTCACACCACAGAAGTTTGTTAGCTGTGGGTTTCACATGCGGCCTTTGTTATGTTGACATAGTTTCTATTTCCAGATTGCTGAGAGGTTTTATCATAATTCTGTCAAATTCATTTTCTGCATTTATTGATATGATCATGTGACTTTTCTTTAGCCTGTTGTGATGGATTACATTAACTGACTTTTACATATTGAACAAATCTTGCATACCTGGGCTAAATCTTACTTAAATCTTACTTAGTCATGGAATCTATTTATTACTTATTTACGCATTTATTATTTTTTTAATGTCCTCCGTACCAGCCAAATTCACTTCTACTTCATCTTATAATAAATGCTTTTTTCTCCTTCACTCACAAATGTTTGCTGTTTTCCTGCATATATATTCCCCCCCACCCCCAACCCACCAAGTGCCACGTTTTTCCAAGTGTTACCCATATAGATCAGAGTCACCCTGGGGGTGTATAAGAAATGCAAATGCCTACTCACAGAATTTTAAAACTTTCCATTGAGGTCTGGGATTGGCATCTACCTAACCTTGCTGGTCCCCGATAGCCCACAGTGGGAACTCTTCTAAGAGCATCCTTGTCATTCTGCCTGCGCTCTAACACCTCTGACGCCCTCTGACGCCCTCTGACGCCCTGGGCTAGGTTGATCCTCTCTCTGCTCACCCTACAGCCCATAAGGGCTCCAAAGCCCAGCTCGGGGTCACCACAGCTTCCATTCCGCATGAGGATATCTCACTAATGGCTTTGACTGAATTTTTCAGGAAAGAAGAGGTACAGCATTTTAAAATATGGTTTATGATATGTTCATCTACACCAATAGTTTGTTTAGTTTCTGTGTTTTTCTAAAAAAAAATAGTATCAGCTACTATATAATTTTTAGGGACTTATTTCTTTCATTTAGTATTATGTTTCTAAGATTCACCCATGATTATTACATGTCAGCTGTAATTCACTAATTTGTATTACCATTTTATATTCCATTGTGTGAAAAACTACAATATACTTATTTCTGTTAATCTGGGATATTATCAGTTGCTATGTATTATAATCGATCTTGCCAATAGTTTTCCAGAAAGTGTTTTCTGGTGCCCGCTGGCCAAGAGTTTTTCTAAGTTACCTGAAAGGGAAGTGCTAAATTATGCAGTGTTGATTTGAAATATTTTTGTTGTTTATATTCTGAATACCAAAAATGTATACACATTATATGTTGTAAACTTCCTGTATGTAGCAAGTCTTCGTGCTTGTCATGATGATATATGATGAACAGAAATTCTTAGTTTTAAAATAATCCAGTATATCAATCTTTACCTGTATGGTTATTGCTTTTGATACCTTGTTTATGAAATCCTTTCTGACAACAAGGTCAAGAAGCTTCTCTTCTTCCATATTAGCCTTTAAAAGTTTAAAGTTTTGCTTTTTTAGGTTTATGTATTTAATCAGTTGGGAATTAATTTTTGTGTATGGGTGGGGGGACAGAATCCAGTTTCATTCCCATTTTATTGGATATTGTTTTCTTTCCCTGTTGACATGCAGTGTCAGCTCTGTCATGTAACACGCTTGCATGCATGCAGGGGTCTCTTTCTCTTACCCACACACTTCCACACTAACTTAATAGACCATGGCTTGAAATTAAGTCTTGGGACAAATGCACTGCTTTATTCAGTAACTCCACTCCTAGGTATATCCCTTAGAGAAACGAGTGCCCATACCCACCAGTGGACATTAGAGGAATATAGAGAGGAGCAGTTTTGGATAATAGCCTCAAACTGGAAATAACCTAACAGTGAAATGGAAAAACTGTACTATATACAAACAACGGATTACTATACAGTAACAAAAAGGTTACTACAGCAACATGCAACAACAAAAAGTTTAACATGTACACTTTGATAAAAAACGATGAGACACAAAAGCTTTTGCCTTGTATAATTCTATTTCAATGAAGTCAGGAGCAATTTTCTTTCACTTCCCCCAAAGGTGGGTCATGACCCCGAATACCTGTTGCCCCCCACAAAGAGGGATGAGCCAGCTGAATGAATAGCCCAAACCAGTATCATCAGATTAACTTTAGCGTGCGTGTTTTATGGCTTCTAAGTAGGTCACTGTCATCTCCGGGCCACAAGGGTCATCCTCAGAGTCATGGAATAATATGAATATGAAGCAAGGGCCTTTCTAAAGTAGATTCAGTGTTTCGTTGTTTCAACGCATTTCTGTGTTAAATTAGTAAGTAATGTGAAGTACATCCAAATTGCCGAAATATGCAAGTCAGCCTCTAGTCTTAAGTCAACAACTTGAGCTTTTTATTGTTATAATTATTAAAGTCTACAGACATAAAAACATGAAGTTCAGGAAGGATAAACTAAACTCTGTCGTCTACAGTACATACTTAAATGGTACAAAAGAAGGTGAAGATGTGGTTACCTACAGAAAGGAGACCATGGCTGGTGGCAGGGAAGCGGTTTCCGACTGGGAAGGCTCACAGGATGCCCGCACTGTTCTATACAATCTCCTGTTTTTTATCTACATGGGTGCTAATGTTATAAAAATTCTAAACTGATTACTTCCATTTGTATTAGTTTCTGTATGTGTAGCCCACTCCCCTCATATTCTCTAAGTGTATTAATGAGCTTGCAGTGATTTTTATTCTTTAAAGTATGGTAAAACTCTCTTTTAAACTGTCTGGTCCTCATGCTTTCTATGTGGCAAGATTTGAAATTACAGATCAATTCACCTAAAAGGAACACTAAGGCCATGTCTTCCAGAGTAGGGTTTTTCCTAGAAATACACACATTTCAATTGAGTTTTCCACTTTGTTGAGCCTAAAGTTCTTACAGTAGTCACTTTATAACCTCTTGTATATCTCTCCTTTTTAATCCTAATTGCATTATTCCCTTTCTCTCTTTATTGATTAACCTTACCAGAGCTCTGTATATTTTATTAGTTTTCAAGGAACTAATTTTGGTCTTCAGTGCTTCTCTATTGTATGTTAGCTTTATTTTGTTAATTTAATGTATACGTTTTATATCTTTTCTTTACCATTTTGGGGTTTATTCTCTTGTTTTACTAATATCTTAATTGGACTCTTAGTTCATAAATTTTCAGCATTTTAGAAAATAATATAAGCATTAAAGCCTATGAATTTTGCTCCAGGTACCTCTTTAGATCCAATCAATGAGTTTTACTACATAATAGTATTCAGTTCTAATTATTAATATTTTTATTATGATTTTATTTTTCACACAAGTTTAAAAATTTATCTTTTTTTCCTTTTAGAACTAGAATTTGAGCCCAGGTTTTTCTGAGTCTAGAGGTCAGCTCCTCACCATCACACCCACACCTTCCCTCTGGATCAGCTGAGACCATACTACTCGAATTCACTGTGTTTTAGCCACAACAGCTTTACCTTTCCTCAACGTCCCATGCATTTTCACGCTTATCAGTTATAATGTTTGCTCTAGCCTTGTGCCTTCAAATAACAGATGACGTCTATCTTCAGACTTCAGCTTAATCATTATTCTACAAGGGAAAGAGGTCAATTACCTCGGTGGTACTCCCTCATAAGCATAAATAACTCTTCATCAAATTATAGCACTGAGACTGTGAGATCCATGACGATAGGGAATGTATCTGTACGTGCTCACATTTTATCTGTCCTCAGCACATGGACTAATTCTGCAATAAACACTTATTGAATGAATAAATGAACAAACTCCTTCTCTATAACAAGTGCTAGAGGAGGTTCCAGTTAGAGAAAGGTGCAACACTTGCTGTCTCTGGGAACTCACTGTGTCACACGTCCTTTCTGTACCATCTCTTAAGGGCAGAAACTGAAACATGATCTCTTCAAATTTCAGAATATGATTTTGTTGAAAATAAGTGTTTCATATCGCTGACTGGGTATGACACTAGAATTTACTGGAACAGAAAAGCTGATCTGAAATAAAGCCTTTTCTCTTTGAAGCACAATTTTAAGGTGACCTTTCCTGTAATGAATGATCAAGATGTCACAGGCTGTTACTTTCTTACTACAGTAAAGGCAGAAATCTTTCTCTTTGTAGGTATTTTAAAGCCTCAGTAACTAGGAATAACACCGATACCAAAGCAGACTGATGGGAAGAGAATCTAAGAATATAAAAGAAAGACCCTGAGATCCAGAGATGTGTAAGAACTTAGTATACAATCAAGGTATTATTTCAAATAAGGAGGGAAAAGATAAATGAATCAATAGTGGAAAGCCTCCATTTAAAAATTCAAAAATATTAACTCTTTTTAAATTAAATCTTTTTTTTTGGCTTTCCAAAAAACCAAACCAAACCAAACCAAATCAAAGAAGCCCTTTACTAAAATCCACTGGGAACAGAAACGTAACTACGAACGATCACGCTCACAAATCTACAACCTCGACCAATGACCAGCCATAAACATAGCACTAGCTCACACCTTATATAAAAGGAAATTTCAACTGATTTGAAGTCCTCCATGTAAAGAATATGTAATCCACTGAAGGAGAATCACTAAATAAATGATGATATATATTCTTAACATTGAATAAGATAATTCTGTACGTTCCAATGACAAGATCTTCAAGATACATAAAAACAAAGTTACAAAATTAAGTTTAGTATGTTACCAATTACATAAAACAACATATGCGTGGGTTAGTAAATGCGTAAGGTACGCATTTACTATACACAATATACTCTTTAACAGTTTTACTTGTAAGAAAAATAGGATTTGAGAGGAAATGAGGCCATGTGAAAAGAGACTTAACTTTTGAATCAGTCAAGTTCTAGTTTCACTGATTTATTTACAAGCATGTATTACTCATGAAAAAATTTAAATCCCATATATTAACTAGAAAAAAAGTATTTTTTATCGATTATGCATAGAGAGATATGAAAACCTCTCTATATAGGATTCATCTCGACAGATGATAGAGAAAAGGGCTGATAAACTGTTCTGTTGGTGCATGGCAAAAAATATAAACAAAATCAAATGTCAAACAATATTCTTACTGTATATAATGAGCATTTAAAAATATGTAAGATAAATACTAATCTCCTCCAATATGCAAGTAAGTGCAAACTGAAACAAATAGGAAGTAACATTTAGGAAGTACATTTCACCTTTGTCAGGTTGCTAAAGATTAGAAAAGATAGAATTTCCAGGGTAGATAAGGGTGGGTAAGTAGTACACAGCTATTGTAATGTTAGGAAAACTATCAGCAGGTGTGGCTACCGAGAGGGCAATCTGACAATCTACATCAATTTGACAACATATGTTAAAAGGCTAACAATGCGTCCAGCAGGTTTAATTTGTATTTTTCTAATTGTGAGCTTCGGGTGCAATGTGAGTGACACCAAGCATGCTGTATTTAGTGAAGCTAAAGCCATTTCAAATGGTGACTACTGTATTGATTCATTTAAAAATAGCAAATAAACTTTCAGGGAAAGAACCTTGTTGGCTACATAACAAAAGAATTAACTTATTTTTTTTCTGACTTACTGCTTCTTTTAGAAAAAAATTAAAAATATAAAAAGGACACTATGAAGAAAATAAATCTAACATGCAGGAAGACTTAAAAATGTATTTGATGACAGGATGAAAAGTTTAGAGCACTGTGAAGATAAGACAGATAGTGTGACAGTAAAAATAATTCCACCCACAATGCTATATATACTGGATAAAATACGTCATCTCTCTGGGACTGATCTCCTCCTCTGCAAAGTGAGGATTCTGAATTGGATTGTTACATCCCCTTTGCTTCTTAATTATTTATAATTAATGAATAAGAACACTTTTACATAGGACAGATCTTATATAAGGAAAGGTTTTAAGATTAAGTGAATTATTAGCTGCATAGATATGTTACATCTGTACAAAAGCTAGTTTCCCCTTCCCAGATAAAATGTTAAACAAGGAATTACCTCTTAGTATTCTCTTGTTCTTCTTGCTCGGGGAATGGCTTCTGCTTTTTCTTGGTCTGTTCTTCCAACAGCCAACTTTTCCTCTTCAGTCCCTTCTTATGTTCTGGATTCAGGTTTACACTCTGAACAACAGCTTCGATGGCGTCTGTGACTGTATCAGGGCCGAGGGGTAGTGCCACCCCCTCGTCACCCTCATTCAGTTCTGGGCTGACAAACTGGGCAGCCTGGAATGCTTGCATTGATACCACGGCCTGGAGGGGACATTTTCGAGGTCGACCCGGTCTGCGTTTCACAAAGTTATTTCCTGTCCTGGCCTGTCTTTGAAGTTTTTTGGCTTTTAAAATTTTATTGACATGGTCCAGGTTTTTCTTAGTGGCCAGGATTTTGTCATAATTGCACATTTTCCGAGCTTGGCGCTGCATGGCTTCCACTACACTTCTCTTGATATGATGGGGGGAACAGCTGCTTGGCAACTTCTCAGAAAGGAGTGAGATGCCATTACTGCAGGAGTCAGTGGGGACTGTGGGCACCAGGAGGCTGTCTGGTTTCCCCAGGGGCCGCTCCTTGCTGTGGCTGTGGCCTGGGCTAGAGGCAGACGGCACAGAGGCGGATGCCACCACAGCATCCATGTTTCTCTCCAGGGCCTCTTGGTCCTCCCGTTGTGCCACCCGCTGCAGCAGACTGTCCACAGCGTCGTCCCCAGACACAGCCAACCTTGGACTTCGAGAGGGAATGCCGCTGTTCACTAATAAGATGACAAATCACACAGAGATAAAAATTGAACAAAACTAGTTATTTAAATAACTTTTTACACAGGATAAAAGTCAAGGGATACTGCTCTATTTTTCACAGCAAGATTAAATATCATAAGACCATAGGCATTTGTCTTTCACAGGTAAGTTGGTAGTTTACTTTCCTGAATAAGGTACAGTACAGTGACCATAATAAATTCAAAATTGGCCCATATTTCCCCAATAATATGTGGATTAAAAAGTTAAGTCTTACTCTCTGAGATGAGGAGCAGAATGAAATAAGAGTTGACTTCTACAAAAATGAAGGTCCAGTTCAAGGACTTGACAGTTAAATCAATCTTGGATCTTGGATAGGATCTAAACTTTAAACATAGACGTTTTTCTAGTTCAGTGCTTTTGCTGACAATAAGTGCAGAGGAATACAAGTGAAATTTTCTTCTTGGGGAAAGCTTTAAAATTAGAATAGAAAACATCTGTATAAACTAGCTTGAAAGAATATATGTTTCCAGTAAAATTAGAAAATAAGCAATCTTAGATAAACTTTGTTATCTTAGTGGCCCAATGATTTGGTAATCTTTGTTTCTTCCGATACCACTCAGCAACTTTTCACAACTGTAATTAACATGGGAAATACTCAACTTCCTCTGGGCAAGCTATGTTAGTTTCACAATATTATAAATAGGCCAAATAGATCAAAATAGGCCACTTCTCGAGATGCCTAGTTTACTACAAACGATCATAGGTTATACTTTTCCATAGTTAGTGGATTTCTTATCTCTTATGACTAAAATGGGATACTATTATAGATACTCCTTTACAAGCATGCTGGATTCCAATCTCATCAGACTACACTGGAATTTTTTTTCAGAATACCAATAACTTCCTTCAAATCATATTCAATATGATTTGTTTAAATTTAGTTTAAATTTAGTTATTTTTTAAAATTTCAAACTCTCAGCTATGTTATATCACTACTCTTGAAAATCCTGCCTCCGTTGTTTCTATGATAATACACTTGATCTTCCATTTACTTGCAACTTCATTTAACTGTAGAAGTCCCCCATCTCTGCCTAACTTAACTTTTCTTCTTTCTTATTCCTTTTGGCTAGTTATCCACCTCCCACCTCTGGCATGAACCAGTTATAAGCTTTCGATGGTTTTGCTGTTTTCTGTTTATTTCTGCTCTTATATTTATCATTTTCTACCTTCTAATTTGGGTTTAGCTTGCGCTTCTTTTTTCTAGTTTCCTAAAGGTGAGAGCTTGGGCTACTGATTTAGACTTTTCTTGTTTAACAATGTAATTCTTTGAAGATAAAAATACAGCCCTAGCTATATCCCATAAATTTGTATACATTTTGTTATTCAATTTAAAGTATTTTCTAATTTTGTTTGTGAATTCCTCTTTGACGTATGGGCTTTTTAAAAGTGTGTTGTTAAATTTCCTAATACATATCTGGAGGATTTCAAGATATCCTGCGTTTCTGAATTCTAATTTAATTGCACTGTGTTCTTACAATATATTCTGTATGATTTCAATCTCTAAGTTTATTGAGATGTTTTATGGCCCAGAATGATGGTATCTTGGTATAATTCTATATGCACTTCAAAACAACATAAGAAAAAGGTGCTTTATATTTGTCTAGTTATTGAAAATTTCTGGACCTCATCGTTCCTTTGGTATATCTGTTTCCATCTAATATGACTTCCTTTCTGCTTGAAGAACTTTTCTGCTGCTGTAGGCCTGTGGGCAATAAATTCTTTAAACTTGTTTTTCTGATAATGTTTATTTTGCCTTTATTTATTTTGGATGAAAGATAATTTATTTTATTTATTTTTTCAGTTACAGTTGACAGTCAACTTTTTTTTTTTTTTAAAGATTTTTATTAGGGAGTTGGGAGATGGGAACAGAGTTGGAGAATTTAGGGAAGGGGAACAGACAAGTTGCTGTCCTTTTGTTCTACAATCTAGTTGTGCAGGATGTTGCTTCACTGGCCCAAGTTGGCACCATCATTGCGCTCTTCCCGGGCGAGGCAGATCAGTCGCCGGCTTCTGGACGGCCGCTCACTGCGGCTGCTGGCCGCTCACGCTGGCTGCTGGCCACATACGGTAGCCCATGGCAACCCACTGCAGCAGGGGCTGCAGCCTACGCCGTCGCCGGCGACTCACGGCAACCCAGCTCCAGGTTGAGCTGTTGTTCAGCATCTTAGCTGTGGAGGGCAGTGTCACTGGCCCTCATATGTGGGATCCGAACCGGGGACCTCTGGCGTCCCAAGCCAGTTCTTAACCATCGCGCCACTCGGCCGGCCCTCAACATTATTTTATTGCCTTCATTTTTGAAGGCTATTTCACTGGTTAGAGAGTTTTAGGTTGACAGGTTTTATTTTCCTTCTGGCATTTTAAAGGCAGGATCCCACAATCCCGTCTTATGCATTTCTGACAATACTTTTACTATCCATTGCTGTGGTCCTGTTACTATGTGATTTTTGTCTGTTTTTCCTGGTTAACATGAAGATTTTCTCTTCACTACTGGTTTTCAGAAATTTGATAATGATGTCCCTTGATTTCTGTATGTTTGTGTTTATCCTGCTTGGGATTTGTGGAACTTCATGAATCTATGGATTTATAGCTTTAAGTGTGAAAAAATTACTGAGGATCACTGTTGCAAATGTTTGTTATTCCTAAGTCCCTCCTTGTAGGCCTCCAATCCCACATATGCTAGCCCTCTTGATATTAATGTACTTGACACAACCGAACTACACACATAATAATGGTTAAAGTGTGATGCTTTGAATCCTGGGGTTTGAATCTCTACAGGGTTGGATCTAGTGTAGCCTTCACTCCAGGGATAGTTTCGCCGTACTAAGGTGTAACATTTATGGGGTCTCCATGATTGCCCCAACTCTTCTACACCCGGTAATCAGAGTTCTGCTATCTACTTGCCCTATGTAAGCTTTGGAAATTTTGTGTCGTATAACTCCCTGGTGGCTCTCTGTCTTCATGGAGTTTCAGTCTCTGGAAGCAGGACCTAGTTAGTACTCAGCAAAGATTTGTTTTAAGGTTACTCATCAAATGGGTCTAAATGCCTTTGTGATCTTTTCTCTTTTTATTCTCTATCAGTGTACGTCACCTCCCTTCTGTAGCACCAAATTTTCATCCTATACTCTCCTAACGATAGACAGGAGGGCCAATAGTAACAGCAGTAACAATACAAGTTGCCACTTACTCAAGGACTAATCAATGATAGGAGCTTCAAATAAATTTACTCTAATACCCACTATTCTGGAACGTAAATGTAAGTAGTCCCAATTTATAGATGAGAAAGCTGTGGCTTGAACAGTTTCTATCACATGCCCTAGGTTATACAACGTGCTACAGCTGAATCCAGTCAGATCTAAACAAAAATTCATGGTTTTCCCACCATATCATAATGCCTCCTCCTCCAATGTAGACTATTTTATACATAAGCCACGCCTTATCTATAATGTCTTTCAAGTCTCAATCCAAAATTAATGGAAGCCTTTTTTACTAATTTTGTGTCACTTCAGCATTTAGGTATCTGTAGGACCTTACTGTACAATCACTAACACATTTCACTGTTGCTCTTAAGATAAACAGATTATAACGTATTTTTTTTGGTATTAGGGACCATCTCTTATGACTCTTTGGGACTAATATAGATCTCTGAATACAGTAAGTTCTTAGTAATACAAAAGGACTACTACTGTTATCAGTGTAACGGTGTCTGCAAACCAACTACAGAAAGATGAAATGATTCTATGAAATACTACTGCAGGGTTTTATTTTTCTGGAAATTAACTATAAGATGCCTGGGTTAAGTAAAATGCCTGAGAAAGAGAATAGACAGAAATATCTAAAAGCTACAAATGTAAGAAAAGTCTTATAACACAAACTATCAGAAAGAGGAATTAAGAAAATAACCTCATTTACAACTGCATAATAAAAAAATACCTAGGAATAAATTTAACCAAGGAGGTAAAAGACCTGTACTCAGAAAATTAGAAGACATTAGAGAAAGAAACTGAAGAAGATACAAATAAATGAAAGCATCTACCGTGCTCGTGGATATGAAGAATTAACATCCCTAAAAACAATCTACAGATTCAGTGCAATCCCTACCAAAATACCAACGCCATTTTTATACCAACGCATAGTACTGGCATAAAAACAGACAATGAAACTAGATCACTGTTTTACATCATATACAAGAATCAACTCAAAACGGATTAAAAACTTAAATGTAAGACCCGAAACCACAAAACTCCTAGAAGAACACTTAGGCAGTAAACGGTTTGATATCACTTTTAGTAATATTTTTTTGGATGTCTCCCCAACCAAGGGAAACAAAAGAGAAAATAAACTAATGGTACCACATCAAACTAAGAAGTTTTTGCATAGCAAAAAAAACCATCAACAAAACGAAAAGACAACCTACTGAAGGGGAGAAAATATTCACCAATGATACATCTGATAAGCAGTAAAGAACTCATACAACTTAACACAAAAGGACTCATACAACTTAACACAAAAAACCAAACAATTCAATTCAAAAATGGGCAGAGGACCTGAATAGATATTTCTTCAAAGAGAACATACAGATGGCCAACAGATATATGAAAAGATGCTCAATGTCACCAGTCATCAGGGAAAAGCAAATGAAAACCTCAATAAGATACTTGTCAGAATGGCCATCATCAATAAATCAACAAATAACAAGTGTTGGTGAGGATGTGGATAAAGTGAACCCTCGTGCACTGTTGGTGGGATTGCAAATCGGTGCAGCCACTATGGAAAACAGTATGGAGGGTCCTCAAAAATAAAAAATGGAACTACCATATGACCCAACTTCCATTTCTGGGTATTTAACCAAAGACATCCAAAACACTAATTCCAAAAGATATGTGCACACCTATGTTCATTGCAGCATTACTCATAATTGCCAAGATATGGAAGCCACGTAAATGCACAAGAAGATAATTGGATAAAGAAGATGTGGCACATATATACAACGGAATATTACTCGGCCATAAAAAAGAAATGAAATCTTACCATTGGCAACAACATGGGTAGATCTAAGGAGTATTATGCTAAGTGAAATAAGTCACACAAAGAAAAACAAATGCCACATGATTTTATTTGTATGGATGGTGCCAGGTAGGTACTAGACTAATTAAAGGGAATCACTTAGTTAATCATATAAATGTCTAACCAGTATGCTGTACACCTGAAACTAATATAATATTGAATGTCAACTATAATTGGAAAAAGAAAAGAATGCAAGGTTAACCAATATTGAGGATATACTGATCAAAAAAACATAGATTTATATTGAACGGGAATTAAATTTGTGTTGGCACTACAAGGCAACTGGGCATTACCCGTCTACACCATATTTTAATTACTTTTTTTCTGAGTCTCACAGGCAATATCAATCTGCATGAATGACAGATTGTGGTCAGGAACTCTCTTTTTCCTGCTCCTCCGAAAGCCAAAGCTGAAACAAGGAACTAGCTTCTTCTGTGACAGGTGTGTTTCCGTGACACTGGCCAAGGTCACCTTGTGGTTCCAGGTTTGTGCAGGGAAATCTGATGTGGACGTCTGCTTTGCTAGAGTCCGGGGCTTGCTAACCCTTTGCCTCCTGCGCCTGGATGTCTTCCAATCACCGGGCTCCATCACCAAGGATCAAGCAGATATCAAGCAGCTCTAATGCTCTTTACTTCCGTTGAATCAGCTTCCTGAAAATGTCTAGTGTCCTATTGACTCACTTCAAAGTTCAGTAATATTTTAAGAAATGTTTTCCTTATTTTATCTAGTATCTTTAGGTTTAGGTACCAAGAAGTGGGTTTGTTGTGCACATCTAATTCACCACATTGCCAAAGAAAGAACTCTAACTTAATTCCAATACCACATGAATTGTCTCCTTTCCCCCTCTCAGGCCACCAAACTGCTCTAACTCTACACCTGCAAAATGGTTTTTAAAAAATCCCTTTCCCAATCATTTGACACTTTCTGTCCAAATATTTTCTGACTGCTTCATGACATCTGACAGTAAGAGGCTTCTATGACATGTACTCTCTGATTTTCCTATTTAAAACATTATTTAAAATTTTTATGTCATCCACTGACATCTTTTCTTCCAGTTCCTTCTCAAATGCTAATGCTTCTTAAATCTCCATTCCTGTCATCTTCTCAATTTACACTTTCTTCCTGGAAAATCTCATTCACTGTCAAATTCAAGTTTATAATATACTGCTAGATCCATGTCTCTACCATGTGTCTCAAACTATAAACCACTACTTCCAAATGGCTATCCAACATCTCTACCTCAGCAGCGCAAAGACAGTTCACATTTAATATATCCAAACCTGATGCCATTATCTACTGTCTTTACGCATTTGTTTTGCCACACTCCGTTCTCCACAATGTAATGTTTCAGCATTTTTCTAAAATGCATATGAGGCAGACTATTACTATTCATACATATTTGCTGCTACTCCCTCGATAAGATTATACTTCCCACACCTCTTTAATGTAAGACTTAACCATGTGACTTGCTCTGGTATTGTAAGGTGGGAAGTAACATGTTACTTGGGCAGAAATTTTAAGAGCCAGTTAGTGCTTTACTATGGCCCTTATGTTTTTCCACCAGACAAGCAACATCCCAGACAGAAGCTGCTGTCAGACAGGACCCTGTGGGGAAGAACACAGGGCGCAGGCCAGGACGGTCACAAAGCACAAACAAAACCCCAATCTCTGGTGTTTGATGCCATGGAAATTCTGGGATTTTTTTTTTTTAAGCACTGTGAAATCTAGCCTATTTTGACTGATATAAAATATCAGACAATTTTTATATTCCCTGTTCAAAGTCCTTCAGTGGCTCCCAACTGCTTTGCCCTCAAAAGAAAAAAAATAAACAAAACAACATAGTATATATGATATAGCCCATCATTACTCTGACAGCTTCATTTCCAACCACCATCACACTCTAGGACCAAATGATGTGTTGTTCTCCAAAATACCATTCCAGGGCCGGCCGAGTGGCGCATTGGTCAAGAGATGGCTTGGGATACCAGCTCTGAGCAGCAGGGCCCTGGTTTGGATCCCACATGAGGGCCAGTGACACTGCCCTCTACAGCTAAGATGCTGAACAACAGCTTGATCTGGAGCTGGGATGCCGTGAGTCGCCAGTGACAGCATAGGCTGCAGCCCCTGCTGCAGTGGGCTGCCATAAGCTACTGTGTGTGGCCGGCAGCCAGCGTGAGCAGCCGGCAGCCAGCGTGAGCTGCCAAGAGCTGCTGTGAGCGGCCGTCCAGAGGCTGGCGACTGATCTGCCTCACCCAAGAAGAGTACAGTGATAACACCAACACGGGCCAATGAAGCAACGTCCTCCACAACTAGACTGAAGAACCAAAGGACAGCAACTTGTCTGTTCCCCTTCCCCCAATTCCCCAGAGCTGTTCCTCTCCCCAAATTCCCCAATAAAATCTTTTAAAAAAAAATGCCATTCCATTTTATGCTTTTGTGCCTTTCTTCAGACATGCTGCTGTTGCTGTGTTAAGTACATTCTCACCCTTTTGTACTATTTATCTACCATGATTTTCAACCATCCTTTGGTTTTGGGCACCTATTGGGGACCGCGGGTACGAGAGGGCTACTGTACGTCTAGCTGGACACGGAGAAGGGTATATTGTTTCAATGTACATGATTAGTGATTTTTACATCCCAGAACTACTTTTGTTTTTTCCTACAATATTAGGTTGTAAGTCAAATATATATTTCAATTTATGTTGTAGGTCTACAGTACTACACTGTAATTCTGTTCATAAGTAACAGATGGAAAATTATCTTCAAGGTCTGCTAAATCGACCAGCACTTGCCTGTTGAAGAAGTACTCTCAGATGAAGATCTCTTCCGGGTAGGGCTACAGTTTGTGCTCTCGGATGCTCGCTGGGAAGACTTATCTGAGGTTGGCTGGGAACCTGGAAAGACAGGAAAAGATAGAAATCATAGGAAAATTCAAGTCTAAAAATAATGTTAAATCATTCTGTATCAACGCTGTAATCATTTAGCTGTTGCCACTGCTATTCCCTGTAATAACGTTTAAGGCAGCAATAAGAGGACAACAAGCAGAGGAGAAACCACACTAGATGCTGCTAGCAGAATCTCACAGGTCTCATATACATAATTCCTTCTGTTACATCAACAGAGGGAAACTAGTTTTTTAGGGGAAGAATGAACAGAATAAATGATTTCATTTTTATGTATTACCACTATGAAACGTAATTGAGATGTTTATTGATAAAAATCACTAACAATATTCTAATCAAAACTTCCTCATTACTGATTCAAATTTGTCATATAAATTTGACAAAACTTACAATGCAATTAATTAGAAAGGACTGATGTGAGAAAAACAGGTCCAACCTGAGCATTTCATTTAATAGAATCTGAGATGAAAACTGAAGAATTGGACCTAAAATCCATATACCGTAGGTAATGCACAGAGGTCATTTTCATAGTCTATGTTTTGCCTCTGTAGCATATTCTAGAAGTGGTTAATTTATCCAGGGACTAGAATAGCCTCCTTTGAAGCTGTACACTGACGGCTCTTTGGTTATATACATAAAAGCTCAAGAAGACAAAGACAGTCAATGTTTTTTCCGAAAGTCTCATATTTTCACCAAAACCCCAAATCAATGCAGCGTAATTTAACATATCTACTCAAGGAAAAAGCATATCATTCAGAAAAGATTATTTTCCTGAATAAAATATACTTGGTTCTGATACTGGATTCCTTATGACTTAAAAAGCCAGCTGTTGGGGCCGGCCGAGTGGCGCGTTGGTTAAGAGCTGGCTTGGGACGCCAGCTCTGAGCAGCAGGGCCCCAGTTCGGATCCCACATGAGGGCCAGTGACACTGCCCTCTACAGCTAAGATGGTGAACAACAGCTCGACCTGGAGCTGGGCTGCCATGAGTCGCCGGCGACAGCGTAGGCTGCAGCCCCTGCTGCAGTGGGCTGCCATAAGCTACTGTGTGCGGCCGGCAGCCAGTGTAAGCGGCCGGCAGCCAGTGTGAGCTGCCAGGAACTGCCATGAGCGGCTGTTCAGAGGCCGGCGACTGATCTGCCTCACCCAGGAAGAGCGCAATGATAATACCAACATGAGCCAGTGAAGCAACGTCCTCCACAACTAGACTGAAGAACAAAAGGACAGCAACTTGTCTGTTCCCCTTCCCCCGATTCCCCAGTGCTGTTCCCCTCTCTCAATTCCCCAATAAAATCTTAAAAAAAAAAAAAAAGCCAGCTGTTGGGGCTGAGCAACAGGGTCACCGGTTTGATTCTCACAGGGGCCAGTGAGCTGCCAACAGGTGGCAGGATGGCTCAGCTGGTCAGAGCACATGCTCCTAACAACAAGGTTTCTGGTTTGACTCCTGCATGGGATGCCAATGTTCCTCCCCCGCCCGCCGCAGGGCAACTACGACTGAACACGGCACCTTGAGCTGAGCTGCCTATGGGCAGCCGGATGACTCAGTGGTTAGAGCATGTGCTCTTAGCAACCAAGTTTCCGGTTGGACTCCTGCATGGGATGGTGGGCTGCGCTCCTCCACACCCCCGTAATAAGATTGAACACAGCACCTTGAGCTGAGCAGCCGCAAGCTGCTTACAGGCGGCGTGATGGCGACTGGGCTTGGAGCTGAGCTTGCTGTGCCCTCCACAATTAAGATTGAAGGACAACAACTTGGCTGTTCCCCTTTCCCAATTTCCCAACACTGTTCCCTTTCTCCAATTCCCCAATAAAATCTTAAAAAAAAAAAAACCCCAGCTGTTGTGGCAGCCGGTTAGCTCAGTTGGTTAAAGCGCAGTGCTCCTAACACCAACGTTGCCGGTTCGATCCCCAAATGGGGCACTGAGTTATGCCCTCCACAACTAGATTGAAACTACTTGACTTGGAGCTGATGGGTCCTGGAAAAACACACTGTTCCCCAATAAAATTAAAAAACAAACAAACAAAAAAACAGCCAGCTGTTGAGAATACACAATGAATGTCCATTTCATGTTTGTCAAAAACAAACTAGTAGCACTCTGAAATGTTCACTTTTAACTTGAAAAACATTACAAATGAAAAGCCTAACATATTGTATAACTGGAGGCACAAAAAGTACAAGAAGTCAAATATTTGAAGATGAGGTTTTATAAAACCTTCCTCTAAATGAGAGTTAACGGCTTACTGAAGAAGTGACTAATTCACGGAAGGACAACCTGGGGACAGAAGAACCGAATGGAGCTAAGCTTCTACTATCTCCCTGTCTCTAAGAGAAACACTAACCCACGAGCTTTGTTTGAATGGCGTACTATCTTAAATCACACCTCTGTAAATACTCTTCCAGCAGGCTCTTTCCACATTGCTCAGGTGAGACAGAAGACTATGTGTTGCTATTCAAGAGGAACAAGCTAGATTCTGGGAAACTGATGTTGTGATAGTTCATCCTACTTCTGAAACCCAGTGACGACTAATGTCAGATCTAATCAAGAAACAAGATGGTCTATTACTGAATCTTAAAATCAGATACAAAGGGATTTTAAAACAGTACAATAAATCCCCCTAGACCAGGGATCAGCAATCTTTTGAGACGGAAGAGCCGCCAGGGGTCAGCAAACTGCAGCTCACGAACTGTAGCTCTGAAGTAAAATTGAAAATGAAAATAAAACTATCATAGTTTCATTTATAAAATTTTTACAGGATATTATTCACATAATGGTGATTATGTAAAAATATACTTATGGCTCTCGAATAATTTTTAAATTGTTGTGAGGGACAGGATTGGCTCTTCTAGGGGTTGGTAAACTTTTGAGACGGAAAGTACTCAAAGAGCCGCATGTGGCTCGCGAGCCGCAGTTTGCCAACCCCTGCCCTAGACTGTGGTTCAGATAACATTTCCGTTAAAGAGCTAAATGCCACAATAAAATATCTATGAAGTAAAAGCTCAGGCATTAATGAAGACATACACTGGACAGGTAAATATTTCCTAGTCAGACACACAACTAAGACAGAAGAAAAAAGTTGTCAAGAAGCCTGAGACATCATTGAACTCTGTCACTATTCTCCTGCTGAATGGGCAAACAATCTTAGGTCAAGTGCCAGGAGAGAAGGGCTAGGACAGCGCCTTCTCTATTGGTCAAGACTAACACTGATGGAACACAGTTTCAGTGCTTGGGTCTCTGCTGGGTGCTGTCGGGGTGGGGAGAGGTGCAAACACAGTGGAGTAGTCTCTGCCCTCAAGGAGCACATTTAGGGTCCTGTATGTTATCATGGGTTACATTTCAGGTGGCATCTGTGCCATCCATTCTTGAGCTCCATCTTCCGTTTCTAAGCTATTTAGTAACATTTCCCAAATTTCTTGGTCATCTTCAAAGAAGTCTTGATGAAGGCTTCAACTCTACCTTTGATTAGCAGGCTATCCTGAGAATCACCCTGCCTGGCCTCACCCACCTCAGGGTAAAGGAGGGTACAGGCACCTTCTTCAAAGCTCCTCCTTTTGGTGGCATCTGGAGCTGCAGAGGAGGCAGTGGGAGGTGGAATGGGGGTCAGATCCCCGGAGACGGTTATTGGCAGCATTGTACAGCAATTCCTGAGAAACTGAAACAATTGAGAGAGAGAGAGGTGGCTTAGCCCGCTTAGCTTCTGAGCCATTTGTCATTTCCTGACAGCAATGGATGCCAGCAGCCTATTCTTAGGATTTATTAGGAAACTGGAATAAGACTTCATTCAGGAAGGTTTGCACTTTTCATTTTTAAAAGTCTGTTTGAATCCCCTGTTCATACAGAACAGAGCTGTTCGTGACAACATTCCATGTTTGAGGGAATCGAGCTGCAGCCCTGAGACACGGTCTTTAGGGCTCAGTAATCATCACATCTTGACTCTTATTTCATTTAAAAACACTGCTTAAGCAGTAAGAGGATGAGGATATCTGAAAAAAATATTACCTAATGATATAAAGCAACCAAGTTCAAGGCTGGAAAAAGATGATGTAAACTTATGTAAAAGAGGCACCTGTTTGAGGCGTTCCAAAGCATGTTAAAACTGGCCCGAGCACATGAAATCTGCAAACGCTATCTCCAGTGCTGCCAGAAGTATACTGTTTCCCCAGTGCCATTACACAGTTGGGGGACTGGAGAAGAGCAAGATAATGCCTCCAAAGAATTAGCACGTCCATTTCAAAAGAGACCAATGTAGTTATGTCTCAAAACCTACGACAGAAGCCAGGGCAGAGTGTGGTGGAGTGGTGAGTCCATGAGTGTGGAGTCAGGCCGGGTGAGTTCAGTTCCTGGCAATGTTATAATTAAACTGAGCTAGGCAAGTTCTAGGCAAATAAATGTACTTGAATGTTGGTTTAATAAAGCACTCTAACTCACGTGCTTGTTGTAAGATCCAAAATAAGATAACATAAAAAATTCAAAGGGTTTTTATAAATGCTGTACTATTATACATCATCTGATTCCTTGGGTTTATCAATGTCACTGACATGCGTAGGCAACCATTCAATATTAGAGTAAGAATTAAAGAAGGGCAGGGACTTATGTCCACTTAGGAACTGGAACTAATCTAGAATATCAAGCATTTATTTTAAGCATAAAGAAATACTAATAAAGTAAGTACTTCCAGTTAAGAAGTACTAGTAAGGGGGCCGGCTGAGCGGCTCAGTTGTTTTAAGAGCTCGCTCAAGGGTTTGAGCTCTGAGCAACAGCGGTTCGATTCCTGGCCCGAGCTGAGCAGCTGCTGAGCTGCCAACAGGTGGCAGGATGGCTCAGCTTTAAAAAAAAAAAAAGTACTAGTAAGATAGGTCCCTCCATGGCTTGTAGGTAACTGTCAAGTTGGAAAAAGCTCCTCTGAAGTAAATCTTCGAATTCACCAATCCTTTAACACAGCTTCTCCAGGGCTGGGATGATGTTCTAAATTACATCAACAGAACCAGACGTGCC